GCAATCCCACCCCCTCTCCCCTGTAATAGATCTGTGACGTCCATATGTATTAACTACTATTGTTCCTTAGGATATTTCCCTTAAGATTTTTCCCACAAGGGGAGACTAATGGACAAGTTCAGCCGCATTTGTTGATGACCTACTAACTTAAACGTACATCACTGTCTGTCTTCTGGTCCACTTCTTGTATCTGTACCACTTTCTGTTAACCCACCTCCACCTCAGACCCCCCCCTACCCCTACCCCCGCTCCACGTACACGCTAATCTCTAGTATACAGTTCTTACCTACTTTCTAATTTCTAATCTTCAACTTTATTGTCTCGCCCCGTTCCCCTACTAAACCGTATGTGTGTCGAGTAACGATGTCACAAATAGCGTACGTTTAAATATAAAATGTTTTTAACTGAATTAAATAAATTTCAGAAGACGAACATAAATTATAGCGATGTTGGGGGGGGGGGGGGTGTGTAGGGTGATACGTTCAGTCACGTCTCTCACTTAACATGTCATAATGTCAAGACATACGAATATATATATATGCAGAGGCGTAGCGAGGGGGGGGGGGGGGGGTGGCGGGGGGGGGGCGGACCGCACCGGGTGACACCATTTAGGGGGGTGACACCAAGGCAAAAAATAGCATATATGTGTGTGTGTATGTGTGTGTGTGTGTGTTTGTGCTTACTTGACGATGATCGAAGGCCACATTATCTCAGACAAATATCTCAAGAACAAATTATGTCAAGGACAAATGATCTCACGGACAAAAGATCTCAGGACAAAATATCTCAGACAAAATATCTCAGGACAAAATATCTCAGGACAAAATATCTCAGACAAAATATATTAGATGAAATATCTCAGACAAAACATATTAGACAAAATATCTCAGAAAAATATTTCAGATAAAATTTCACGGACAAATTATTTATCTCAGACAAAATATCAACGACAAAATATCACGGACAGAAAATCTCAGGTGAAATATCTCAGATCATATCACGGACAAAATATTTCAGGTCAAATATCACGGACAAAATATTTCAGGTCAAAATCACGGACAAAATATTTCAGGTCAAAATCACGGACAAAATATTTCAGGTCAAATATCACGGACAAACTAACTCAACATGAAATGGCCCTCCACGATCTCTCGAAGCTCACAACACAACATCTGATCCAGCCATAGTTCATTAGCACAGCGCGTGCTACAGGCCTTGACCCACATTGGTAATTAATGGCTAAAGGTTTTTATTATCTCTTTTTGAATCCAATCGTAATCATTTTAATTGCTTAATTTTTTTTAAAATGAGTAACAGGCATATAGTGCATAAATAATTTCTAGGGGTTAAAAAATCTTACAGTAGTTCAAGTAGCATAAAGGTCAGCTCTAAGTAGCAATCAGATCAGATTTAGATTAACAAGCAATCAAATTAACTAGGTGAAGTATTAAGTAGGTCAGCTTTCGGTCAAGAAGCGAGTAGGTCAGCTTTCGGTCAAGTAGCGTGTAGGTCAGCTTTAAGTCAAGTAGCGAGTAGGTCAGCTTTAGTTCCAAGTAGCGAGTAGGTCAGCTTAAGGTCAGGTAGCGAGTATGTCAGCTTTAGGTCAAGTAGCGTGTAGGTCAGCTTTAAGTCAAGTAGCGAGTAGGTCAGCTTTAGTTCCAAGTAGCGAGTAGGTCAGCTTAAGGTCAGGTAGCGAGTATGTCAGCTTTAGGTCAAGTAGCGTGTAGGTCAGCTTTAGCGCTATTGAGTAGGTCACCTTTAGGTGAAGTAGCGAGTAGGTCAGCTTTATGTCAAGTAGCGAGTAGGTCAGTTTTATGTCAAGTAGCAAGTAGGTCAGCTTAAGGTCAAGTAGCGAGTAGGTCAGCTTTAGGTCAAGTGGTGAGTAGGTCAGCTTTAGGTCAAGTAGCGAGTAGGTCAGCTTTAGGTCAAGTAGCGAGTAGGTCAGCTTTATGTCAAGTAGCGAGTAGGTCAGCTTTATGTCAAGTAGCGAGTTGATCAGCTTTAGGTCAAGTAGCGAGTAGGTGAGCTTTAGGTCAAGTGGTGAGTAGGTCAGCTTTAGGTCAAGTAGCGAGTAGGTCAGTTTTATGTCAAGTAGCAAGTAGGTCAGCTTAAGGTCAAGTAGCGAGTAGGTCAGCTTTAGGTCAAGTGGTGAGTAGGTCAGCTTTAGGTCAAGTAGCGAGTAGGTCAGCTTTAGGTCAAGTAGCGAGTAGGTCAGCTTTAGGTCAAGTAGCGAGTAGGTCAGCTTTATGTCAAGTAGCGAGTTGATCAGCTTTAGGTCAAGTAGCGAGTAGGTGAGCTTTAGGTCAAGTGGTGAGTAGGTCAGCTTTAGGTCAAGTAGCGAGTGTGTTAGCATTAGGTCAAGTAGCCAGTAGGTCAGCTTTAGGTCAAGTAGCGAGGGTTGAGATATATGACAGTTGAGATCTAACAGTGATTAGATTCAGCTTCAGTTTTATTTATGTTGGTAAGCGCTTCGAGTTACCTTATGCCCCAATCTTAAGTTACCATCTGTACAATTACCTTGCGCTAATTAAAACTCTTGATTATAGCACACCTAAACATCATACTGAGACACCTCCTACACACGCTTACACATAGAGGCTACTTATCACTTAACTCCCAAATACTACTAACACAGAGAGCCTACACCCTCACCCAACCCAGTCCATTAACACATAAAGGGAACATATCAGTCCCCGACCCCTTACATCACCCCTCCACCCTGCTCGACAAACACAAATGTGGTTACGTATCTTTTAGCCACCCTACCCCCCCCCCCCAGTCCACCATAACAGTACCATGTCACACCTTCATTCCACTATAACAGTACAATCTCACACCTCCACCCCGCCATAATAGTACCATCTCATACTTATCAGGCACGAAATATAAAGCCAAATTTGAAAACAAGCAAAAACTATTTGAAAACACTTGTTGAAAATCTAACCTTTAAACTGGTTTTGTACTTTATTGAAATGTACATAAATTTAAGTCCACCTCTGGGTACGCGGTTTCGCTAGATCTGAGGGCATCGAATTGTCAGAGCTAACTACTGCACATCTTCCGTGGAAAAAAATTGTAAAAAGTGGTGAAAGCTTTTTTTTTTTTTTTTTTTATTTTATTAAATTAATTACCTCCCATTGACAAAATATACAAACCAAGGGATGTAACTCTTAATTAAACTCTTGAAAGCAACGATAACATTTAGGAAATGCATAAATTATTAAAATAAAAATGTATTTTTTTAATTAATAAATATTGTAATAAATGTTTTATGTAAATTAAGAAATGTAGTAAAATAAAAAAACAAATTCAAGTTTTAAATAAAACCAGAGAGTGGCTTAACACTTATTACACTTTTACTATGAAAAAACAAGCGTACTTTTATTTTGAATCCCGTAAATTAGTTGTCATTATATTTCTGTTAAACTATAGATAGATCTATACCCTATTGTAACCCATGTTCCAGAGTTGTAGCGTTCTCAACACATCTAGACAAAATGTCAATTAGCGGATCTTTTGGCGGAGGCCGTGGTGGCGGCGTAAGTTCAACAACAATGATGGTTGAGTCGTCAAATGTGGGAAAGATCATAGGTCGTGGTGGAAGTAAAATCAGAGATCTAGAACAAGACAGTAATGCCAGAATCAAAATATCCAGAGATGAGGATGAGGATGGAATGAAATCTGTTGAAATCAGTGGAACAACAGAAGAGATTGAAAATGCCAAGAGACTAATTGAAGAATGCCTTAGTGGTGGAAGCCGTGGTGGTGGTGGCGGCGGTGGTAGAGGCTTTGGAGGTGATGGTGGTGGCGAATCTGAAACAATTTATGTTGAGTCATCTGAAGTAGGCAGAATCATCGGTCGTGGTGGAAGCAGAATACGAGACATGGAAGCAGACAGTGGTTGTCGGATAAAGGTGTCACGTGATGGCGACTCATCTGGTAGAAGTTCTGTTGAGTTATCTGGGAGCAAAAACGCTATTTCTGAAGCAAAAAGGCTTATTCAAGATGCTGGAGTTGAAATTGTTAATGGAAACGATCGTGGCCGTGGTTGGTGATTTATTCAACTATTTTCAGCAGATAAAAGCATCAAGGACTCACAAGATTTTCATCCAAGTTGCAATGTCATCATTTTTATTTTTTTATTTTTTTTTTAGTATAGTTACCAAGTCATGTATCATTTATCATCCAGACCAGCTTAAATTATTTTTAAATTCTCGGAAGATTTGAGTCTTGCTCACTCGTGCAGAATGTCAGATGTTATATATAATTGGACTTAACCCCTGGAGAAATCTAATGTATATACTATTCGCAAACTTGATATGTTCACTGAGCGACGCCAGATTTTAAAGTATTGGTCTTATTGTTTTTAAAATCGTGTTCATTGTGCATTTTATGCTTACAAATTTCCAGCTTTGAATAAACACAACAAATTATATAAAAAATAAAAAAAAAAAAAAAAAAAAAAAAGTAACCCATGTTCTTTGCCGAAATGCTAGAAGATCCTGCCGAGCCATCATTCATTAGGCTGCTATCTTAGGGGTCGGCAACCTGAGGCTCGAGAGCCGCATGCGGCTCTTTTGATGTCAAAGTGCAGCTCTCCAGCTCCTTGCACAAATATTAATAACGAGCCGACTCGCGGCGTATCAATCATACGCCGCCGCTAGGCGTATCAATCATACGCCGCTATTTAGTTGTTTTATTTTCTACTTTTCAGTAATTCATAATTTGTGAATTAGACAGTGCCAATGCTGCCACTGAAAATATTTGGTTTAAAACACTATAAGATAGTCGTTAAGGACGATACCCCCCTCCTTTCCCCCAACCCCCACCTCACCCCTACTTTCCCCCAACCCCCACCTCACCCCCCCCCCCCCCCACCCCTTGAAAGCAAACTCCTCTTTGTTACCTCCCCTAAGTTTCAAATCGTTTCAAACTACATTATCTGCCCCTAATAGCCGTCACTAAACCAAGCTCTACGATTGTAAACATTTAGCGCTAACCACAGTTCACCAGATCATGTAAGGGTGGGGGCGGTAGGGAACGCGCTTACAGCTTGGTGTTTTCTATCGTCTCCAAGAAGAGAATTATATATATAGATTATATAATTTAATTTTCACTGGACGGTGGGGTGCATGTCTACCCTGCGTTCAGAAAGGTGGAATAAAAGCCTGGTGAGAACCAAATGACAGAAGCCACCAATACAAGTTATCCAAACCGATATCCAAGACAGTTAGTCGGAGTTTGCAGTGTTGATGTCTGACTGGCTAATGGGAGACACCTACCGAGCCGGTGTTATTCTTTAAAAAAAAAAATTTAAATAAACAGCTTCTAAACTGGATTGGGATAGTATATTATTTGATTAATAATTGTATTATTCTGGCGAAACATGGGTATGTTTTTATACGAATTAATGTTATTTCATATTTAAAAGCTATATATTTTAAATAACCAATCAAATGTATTTACATAATCCTAATGAAATATCAAATGTTGAAATAAAAATGTTAGTGGCTCTTTAAGAACTACTTAATTTTGTAAACTGAAAATTTTGGCTCTTCCGTCTCAATAGGTTGTCGACCCCAGCCCAAACCGTTAGAGAGAAACTGACAAGGTTTTCTTATTCGGACGACACAACAGACCATTCAAACTCCTCAGCTGAAGAGAAGAACACAGAAGAAATAAACCGGGAGTGATCTCCCCTAAACTTTCTCGAATATTCTTATATAAAACAACGGGATGGGAACTCGGGAAATAGTTATCATTTTTAATCCATTTTAATTACTTAAACTTTTTAAAATAGAATAGCATCTCATAGAAAAAATAATTGCGCACCAAGCGAACGCCGAATAAAGATGTGTATAATAGTGCGGAATATTATTAGTACTTTATAAATTTTTTTGAGAAATCGGAAAGAGTGAAAATTACTACTTCCGATCAACGGAAATTACTCAAAATTTGAAAGAAGGCAGGAAATTAGATCTTTTACTTACATGTGAAATTTCATTTATCTATCTGAAATAGTACTCAAGTTATAGGCTTTTTAAAAAATTCAAAGTAGAAAAAGTACGACTTCCGGTTATCGGAAATCGCTCAAAACTTGATACGGATCTACGATTTTGATAAAATTTCATCAACCTAGCTGGAACAGTACTCAAGTTATCGTGTTTACACACAGGCAGACAGACAGACAGACAGACACACAGACACACACAGACATACGGACAAGATTGCAAAATTATGTTTTTCCGTATCAGTAAGGTGTAAAACGTTGAGACTTGCAAAAATCTTGTGGTTTTTTTTTCACGATTACAAGATTTTCTCTATACTTCGTATATACGAGAAAGTAAAAAAGGCAAATACAAAATCTCAATCTAACAAAAAAAAATGCACGGAGGAAAAGAAAAGATTTGCTACTGATAAAGATGAATAGGCCTAGGGACTACACACTACAAAGATTTGCTACCGACAAAGATGAGTGAACCTAGGGACTACACACTACAAAGATTTGCTACCGACAAAGATGAGTGGACCTAGGGACTACACACTACAAAGATTTGCTACTGACAAAGATGAGTGGACCTAGGGACTACACACTACAAAGATTTGCTACTGACAAAGATGAGTGGACCTAGGGACTACACACTACAAAGATTTGCTACCGACAAGGATGAGTGGACCTAGGGACTACACACTACAAAGATTTGCTACTGACAAAGATGAGTGGACCTAGGGACTACACACTACAAAGATTTGCTACCGACAAGGATGAGTGGACCTAGGGACTACACACTACAAAGATTTGCTACCGACAAAGATGAGTGGACCTAGGGACTACACACTACAAAGATTTGCTACCGACAAAAGTGAGTGGACCTAGGGACTACACACTACAAAGATTTGCTACCGACAAAAGTGAGTGGACCTAGGGACTACACACTACAAAGATTTGCTACCGACAAGGATGAGTGGACCTAGGGACTACACACTACAAAGATTTGCTACCGACAAAAGTGAGTGGACCTAGGGACTACACACTACAAAGATTTGCTACCGACAAAAGTGAGTGGACCTAGGGACTACACACTACAAAGATTTGCTACTGACAAAAGTGAGTGGACCTAGGGACTACACACTACAAAGATTTGCTACCGACAAAAGTGAGTGGACCTAGGGACTACACACTACAAAGATTTGCTACCGACAAAAGTGAGTGGACCTAGGGACTACACACTACAAAGATTTGCTACCGACAAAGATAAGTGGACCTAGGGACTACACACTACAAAGATTTGCTACCGACAAAGATGAGTGGACCTAGGGACTACACACTACAAAGATTTGCTACCGACAAAGATAAGTGGACCTAGGGACTACACACTACAAAGATTTGCTACCGACAAAGATGAGTGGACCTAGGGACTACACACTACGAAGGCTTGCTACTGACAAAGATGAATGGACACAAATTTAGTTCGATTAAATAAACATTTCATGCTTATTATCCAAGTACCGTTGTAAATACCGTGTATCAAGTCAGATTAAGTGACCATAAGACGCGATCATACGTAGCTGATATAGGAACAACAAAGAACAGCGATGTATTTAATTATCTAATTATGAAATTTAAGTTTATCCAGAAGATTTCACACCATTTTGCGCAATATTTTAATGTTGCGCGTATTCATTTTAGGCTTTGCTTTAGTTTAGCTAACTCCTATTAGGCGTAATACGAAATAAAAAATAATAAAATTAATTTGTTTTTCTAAGGGAATAATCGAAATGGAATAAAATAGTTTTTGAAACAAAATATGTTTAATGTATTTAGTCTGGTATAATTCCTCCACTTTACCATTAACAAAACAAAATAAATGTCTACGTTTTATTACAACATTTAAACACCACACATTTCTTACATCATACTTACTTTATAACTCATAACAATCTTTTTCCAGCTGGTTTAGAGTCTTAAAAAAATTAAATCAATTATCTAGAGACTTGAATGATCAAGTCGAAATAAACCGAACCATATTCAATGAATACTTAGTCCAGCGGTCGGCAACCTGCGGCTTGCGAGCGGCAACCTGCGGCTTGCGAGCCGCCTGCGGCTCTTTTGATGTCAAGATGCGACTCTCCAGCTCCTTGCACAAATAATAATAATTATATAATTTCATTTTCACTGGACGGTGGGGTACATGTCTACCCTGCCTTCAGAAGGGTGGAATAAAAGCCTGGTGAGAACCAAAGGACAGAAGCCACCGATACAAGTTATCCAAACCGATATCCAAGCCAGTTAGTCGGAGTTTGCCGTGTTGATGCCTGCCTGGCTAATGGGAGACACCTACCAAGCCGGTGTTAATCTTTAAAAAAAAAATTTAAAAAATAAACAGCTTCTAAACTGGATTGAGATATTATTATGATTTGATTAATACTTTTATTATTCTGGCGAAACGTGTATGTTTTTATATGAATTAATGTTATTTCATATTTAAAAGCTTTATATTTTAAATAACAAACCAAATGTATTTACATAATCCTAATCAAATATCAAATGTTGAAATAAAAATGATTGTGGCTCTTTAAAAACTGTTCAATTTTGTAAACTGAAATTTTGGCTCTCCCGTCTCAAAAGTTTGCCGACCCCTATGCTAACTCCATCTCTACAAAACCCAAGCTAGACTACATCTCTGAGGGGGGGAGGTGGATTCTACTGTCAAAAGTTGTGTTAATTTTATACGGAACGGCTTGACTGGGCGGTAGATCGCTCGTATGCTAACCCCAAATTCGCGAGTTTGGTTCCTATGCTAACCCCAAATTCGCGAGTTGGTTCCGTATGATGCTTTTGAATCCAGCCAGTTCCGATGGGTACCTGTTTCAGTATAGGCGGCTGAGGACCACACTATGACATCATCGAGGTCACAGAAACAGGTGAATTCTACTTTTGTTTGCCCTAGGTTTTTTTTTTCTTTAAAAATCTTAATATGCTTAATGTATCAGCATTAGAAACAAAGTAAAATCCCCTTTTCGAACTTCGATGGTCCATGGGGCACGTTAAGTAGTGTTCACCTGTCTCCGTGAAGGGATACCACTATGCCCAGCTGCCTTTACTTTCCTTCTCGTGAGTTAGGTACTCATTAAAGCTGGGTGGACTCAGGGTACGTCCGACTGACTTAACCGGATTTGAGACAGCAGTCCACCGCTCTACCGCTAGGCTACGAAGTCCCTACACTAACTAATAACCCTTCTATTAGTAACACTTAGTTTTTGTGACGTCCATTTCTAACTTTTTCAATTGTAACTCTTGAAAGTGAATGCTTGTTTGTGCAGTTATAAAACATGTACTTTTTTTTTATTTTTAACCTTGTTTCATTATCTAGCCTTCTGTTTAGTACTTAGATATTGTAAAGAGATAAGAATAAGACGAAAATTAAGC